GACAGGAGAGAGACGCGTCCTAAAACCAGGAAGTAAGCTGCGCATGGCTTCCCTCCACAAAAAAGCAACGAGATTTCTCCATGGGATTTTAGAAAATAGCTCAAAATAAGATCTGTGTGAAACGTAGCTGTTAGATACATGTACGTTTTGTTCAGCCGGATAATATCCACATGTCTACCCTACTTTTATAACTTTCGAATAATAAATCCATCATTTAGATTTATGATAGACTTTTGAAACTACAAGAAGATAAGGAGGACTTTTACAAAAAAGTAATAGAGATTTTTGTCCAGAAGGATAGGCAAATGGTCTTCATCTTCAAGTCAAGGTCAGACCACAATTGTATTGAAAATGGGATCTTACTAAGAGAGAACAATTCAATATTTAAATGATAAAATTACATTTTTTGGGTATCCTTCTGTTGAACTGTCTGTTTAAAATTAATTGAAGCATCAGACTAAAGAGGCTTTTGAAAATAATATTATATTTTGATTTAGGTCAAAATATAATATTTGTAAACCTTAAGAGTCAGTGCCAGTGCCTCACCAGCCATGAACCTCACTGCAGAAGCTTATATATAGACATCTAAGTTTTTTGTTCCCCACCACTTTTGTACATATAGAAACGCCACTGCACATGTAACAGGTTTATCTCTCATTCAGAATAATGCAAATGCTCTCCTTTCACTGATTACTGCACATTGACACGTCGTTAGCTCAAATATAAACACCTGTGTCATGGAACACGATGATGTCATCACTCCAACTGACATGCTCAGAGCAGCAGACTTCAGATAAAGGTTAATGGTCCTGCCCTCAACAGCTCTACGTCAATTATGGGGTGTCGTCATATGCCGTTTCCATGGAAGATCAAGAGAAGAGAGAGAGGGCGATAGAAGAGTGAGAGGGCGATTAAGAGAAGAGAGAAGGCGATCAAGAGGAGAGAGAGAGGGCGATCAAGAGAAGAGAGAGGGTGATAAAAGAGTGAGAGGGTGATCAAGAGAAGAGAGAGAGGACGATCTAGAGAAGAGATAGAGGGCGATCAAGAGAAGAGTGAGAGAGTGATGAAGAGAAGAGAGAGGGTGAGCAAGAGAAGAGAGAGAGGGCGAGCAAGAGAAGAGAGAGGGCGATCAAGAGAAGAGAGAGGGCGATCAAGAGGAGAGAGAGAGGGCGAGCAAGAGAAGAGAGAGGGCGAGCAAGAGAATAGAGAGAGAAGAGAGAGAGGGCGATGAAGAGAAGAGAGAGAGTCAAACTAAAGTGGAGACATGGCAGAAACCCTACAGTGAAGTGTTCTCCTGTGAGAGGGTGATCAAGAGAAGAGAGAGAGGGCGATCAAGAGGAGCAAGAGAGGGCAATCAAGAGAAGAGAAAGAGGGTGATCAAGAGAAGAGAGAGAGAGGGGCAATCAAGAGAAGAGAGAAGGTGATCAAGAGAAGAGAGAGAGGGCGATAGAAGAGTGAGAAGGCGATCAAGAGAAGAGAGAGAGGGCGATCAAGAGGAGAGAGAGGGCAATCAAGAGAAGAGAGAGAGGGTGATAGAAGAGTGAGAGGGTGATCAATAGAAGAGAGAGAGGGCGAGCAAGAGAAGAGAGAGAGTCAAACTAAAGTGGAGATATGGCAGAAACCCCACAGTGAAGTGTTCTCCTGTGAGAGGGCGATCAAGATAAGAGAGAGGGCGGGCAATCAAGAGGAGAGAGAGAGGGTGATAGAAGAGTGAGAGGGTGATCAAGAGAAGTGAGAGAGGGCGATCAAGAGAAGAGAGAGATAATAGAGAGAGGGTGATAGAAGAGTGAGAGGGTGCTCAAGAGAAGAGAGAGAGGGCGATCAAGAGAAGAGAGAGGGCGAGCAAGAGAAGAGAGAGAAGAGAGAGAGGGCGATCAAGAGAAGAGAGAGAGTCAAACTAAAGTGGAGACATGGCAGAAACCCTACAGTGAAGTGTTCTCCTGTGAGAGGGTGATACATAGGAAAGAGAGAGGGCAATGAAGAGGAGAGAGAGAGAAGAGAGAGATAAGAGAGAGGGTGATAGAAGAGTGAGAGGGTGATCAAGACAAGAGAGAGAGGGCGAACAAGAGAAGAGAGAGGGCGATTAAGAGAAGAGAGAGAGGGCGAGCAAGAGAAGAGAGAGAGGGTGATCAAGAGAAAAAAAAGAGGGCGAGCAAGAGAAGAGAGAGAGGGTGATCAAGAGAAGAGAGAGAGGGCAATCAAGAGAAGAGAGAGAGGGTGATAGAAGATTGAGAGGGTGATCAAGAGAAGAGAGAGGGTGATCAAGAGAAGAGAGAGAGTAATGTAACCTCCTAATGTAATGTATAACTCCTATGAAACAGTTCAAAAAGCGCTCAAAATTCACATGTGTGCTAACAGTCCAGCCGTGAAGACATCTACGGGACATGTCGTTGCCATGGCAACACAATGCCCGCCATGAAACACGATTTTCTCATAACTTCAGTACAAATGCTCCAAATGGCCCAAAACTTCACAGGTTTGGTAACGATGCAGCCATCAACGCATCTAAGCATATTATGGGATGTCATAAAATGTCGTTGGCATGGCGACAGATCCTTCACCATCAAGTTAGTTCAAATATTAGCAGTTCAAATATTCTGCTGCTTTTCCAAGCCTTTTTACTTTATTTTCTTCTCTCATAACTAAGGTTGGGTACCGAGAACCGGTTCCGGTTCGGAACCGGTTCCAACATTTTCGATTCCAACGGCATCATTTAGAAATGTGAATTTCGGTTCCGCTTTTCGATGCCTGGGGAAATGTTTCTCGCCGTTCTCCGTAGCCTACTGTATGACTGCGGCGGGGCGGGAAATGTAAACTGTAAAAAAAGTCCGTGAAATTAACAGGGAAAAGCTGTAAAATCACGACATCAAAAAACTGTAAATAGAGAAACAATGAAGCAGTGTTTAATTTACAGTAATATTTCGTAAAGTACTGAACCAAACAAAACTGTTAAATTCACATTAAGAATTATGTTAAAATAATGATATTTCATTGTATAATTGACAGATTACAGTGGTTTGAACACATAAAAACTGTCATACATAAAACAATACAATACAGTTAAAATTACAACATGACAGTGTTAAAATCATGTTTTTTTATATGTTTTCATTCTTGATTATACTATAATATACTTACTTCTTATTTCTATTTGTTTAATACATATGTTTATTTTGAAATTGGAAATAACTCAGTACTGAGATATTCTTGGAAATTAAATGAGAATCCATAAAACAGCTGGCGTTTGGATTCTGGGGCCGCCCGGCTATTTGGAGTGGAATGCAGCCCACGGCAGACAGCCCAAACAGTAATCGAACGCGCCACTACGTGTGGACCATAGACTGTATATATAAAGGGACGTAGGGTCCGTGACGTCACCCATAGGATTCTGCAGAGTTGCCGTGAAGCCCTTAGTAGGCGGAGTCGGCCACTAACGGCTCGACGGTGTCGTCAGAGTCTAACTCCCGCCTTCTCCAAATAAGGGCAAAGAGGCGGAGCTGAGGCGGAGCTGAGGCGGGACAGGGCGGGACCTGCTGCCAACGAGCGTGACGTTCAAGTCCTAGCTCAGGCTAAGAAGCTAAGCTAACATGCTCTCAGTATCAATCGAATGTAAAACATGATTGATGAAAGTAGTAAATCGGTCAGATTTGACCCGAAGACAACAGGAGGGTTAATGCCATATTCACTTAGTAACGCATGAACAACTTTTACAAATATTTCTATATAGTCTGTGTTGGTAAATGTCATCTAGGTTGCACATTTCCTGCTGAAATACATGCATACCAAGTCACTGCGTGGCACTTTGGTTTTGATAAAACAGTGTAGTTCCACTATATAAACGTTACATTCATAATCAAACGAGACAATCTGCAAGATAATTAGCTATTTGGTATTATTCTTAATGCTTGTCATTCACACGTTAATAAAATAAAATAAGTACCGATACATAGCAGAATAATTGTGGCGGTGTTCAGCTTAATAAGCCTTGCTCAACATAATTTATTTAGCTAATACTACAGCAGGCTGCAGGCAAACCAAGTCCGCGTTACGATGCATTCCTTGATCTCCAGTTATAACGCCGGACTCCGCCGCTGGCCGAAGCTAACGGAGCCCCAGGGTGCTAGCTACGGCCGCCGGGACGCGCTAGCAAGCTAGCACCCTGCAGCCCCGTTAGCTTCGGCGCCGTGGACTCCGGCGGCCCACCCCTTTTAACATTTGCTCCCGTTTAGCATTATGGGCGTCATAGCCATATAGTATAAAAGTCTTACCCAAGGCTGAATCATAAACTAAACTGTATATATGTATAAAGGGTTACGTCCTTAGCTGGCTAATAAGCTACATAACAGGCTAAGCTAACAAGCACACAAACACCTGCTAACGGGGTTAACATGTATAATATTATCATTTTACTCACCGAAAAAAGCTGAAAGTAGACTTCTTGGAAGATCTGTTAGTACATTCAAGCGCACAGCACGACATTTTAATTATCTGGTATTTGTAACAATATTCCCTAACAGGCACCATCACCACGAACACAGCTAAAGGATCAAGTACAGTAACTGCAACTAACTAACGTTGTAGCCTCTATGGTTGTAGCCTAGCAGATTGGACAAGTTGCTGTTAGCTGACAGTGAGGCACGTATCTGTCAATCAAAGTGACCACGCCCTAATGTATGCACAAACTTTAAGACCTAATATAAATATAAAGGGTCGCGTTAGAAAACAATTCACTCACAGATCCATAATCATGAAGGTGGAATCTAACTATATCGATAATAAAATGTATGGAGCCAGGGGTAGAAACATGTTTTTTTCTGCTGTAAAATCGGGCTTTTTAACATGGGGGTCTATGGAAATTGCTCCTTTCTGCAGCCATCGCCTATCGGCCAATATATGAACTGCAGTGTGTGGCACTTCCGTATTGGCTTCCCGGCTCTACCCCACAGTTTGCCGCTTGGTGTGGACGGGCCGTTACGTTCTTGTATTTAAAAAAAAAATTGGGACAGCCTTTCGGCGGAAGTGACGCAAGCGGTCAACGAACGCAGCCTCCGAAGAAAACGGCCGCTGAACTGAGACACGCCTACTGAGCAGTAGAGTTTGTTTCTGTTATTTCATTGGACTATTTAATTATCGCGGGAGCAGCCACTTTTTGCAGGTTAACGGCTCCGTGCGCGGCCAAGTCTATCTCAAGTCTGCCTGCCACGGACCACGGAGCTGTGTGCACATGAGCGGAGGATCACATCTGTAGCACTGGTAAGCTAACCGTTTATTTTTCTTCAAACTTCAATTATAACACGGTGTGTTGTCAGGACAATACTAACTTCTGTTTGTGATTGAGTGCATTTTGCAGCAAAACGCTACAGACGAGGGGTTATGTTCTGCATTGCATAGGAACCCCAGTGTTTTTCAAATGTGTTGGCGCGAACTGCAAGCAAACAACGGTGTGTTGCCAGGACAATACTAGCTTCTGTTTGTAATTGAGTGCATTTTGCAGTCATAGTTATAACGTCTACTGAGCGGGGGGTTTGAAGCTACATCTGAGCGGGTTCAAACTTAACGGGCAGTCGTGTTAACGTCAACGCCGTCAACGTTAACGCCAGCCTAAGGCACACCTGTGCAATAATCATGCTGTCTAATCAGCATCTTGATATGCCACACCTGTGAGGTGGGATGGATTATCTCGACAAAGGAGAAGTGCTCACTATCACAGATTTTTTCAGATTTGTGAACAATATTTGAGAGAAATGGTTATTTTGTGTATATAGAAAATGTTTTAGATCTTTGAGTTCATCTCATGATAAATGGGAGCAAAAACAAAAGCGTTGCGTTTATATTTGTGTTCAGTGTATGTCCACAGCAGTGCATTGCTTAGCTGTCTGCTGGTTCTCCTCTCTGTTTCTCCAAACTGTAGCTCCTACAACCCCCCTTCAAACAATATGAACTACCCCCTAAAAGCAAGTCAAATTGACATTACATTTATCTCCCCTAAACCTGCAAATACACATACATACATTTTTGTATTGATGGTGAGCAATTTAACAGACCTTAAAATGTAATAACATGTGTCCTAAAATTGTTTTGTGAAATGTTTCAGGAAGACAAGTCTTGTTTTAATTTAGTTTGAGTTGTGTTTTTCTTCTTTTTTAGGACGATCATGCTATTCTTCAAGGCGATTCATGCTGAGTGTGGATCGAAACATAGTACAGGACAACATCCCCTCCTTGGTGTCTGCCCTGTCCATGATGTTTGGGAGCTATTATTGCTTCAACATGGCCTACCCGTCAGAGCTGGCATCCACCCTGGAGTTTGTCCAGAGGTATGTGTTTTTTGGGATTGGCTTTATCCAACCATTTCTTTTATTAAACTGCAACAAATCTAAAGCTGCTGCTTCAGTGAATTGGGGGTTAAGATAATTGTCATTTTGGCTTCAAAATAATAAGATTGATGTGAAGTTTTTTGTTGTTAGGCAAGCTATTTTATTATTAATTCTGTTGTTTGTTTGTATTTTTATTTTAAGGTGTTTTTTCTCCATCAACCCAGAGAAGGGCACCAAAGTGGAGAAGCATCCCGTCTTCAGGTGAACCCGAAAGTCCTCACCTTGATACAGGAACTTTCGGACCATGAGTGGCGTGATGTCTGAATATGGACAGTAAGATCAATGGCATGTGGCGATGTGCCCAAGTTACAGTTTGTTTGATTGTTTAAATCGTAGTTACCATTTTAAGTGCCTTTTTTTTAATGTTCCTTTTAACAAATTTTTAAAAATGCAATATGTAACTCTCAAAATGTCAAACTATTCTTTTAAGGTCATTGTAGCCACTCTTGCGGTTTGCTGTTACAAAGTGAAGTTGCTTAAACAATCTTCATTTGGCTTATGTGGATGTAAAAGCTCAGGACATTACTGTTGAGTGTAAAAATGTTGACGTGTTTTGTTTTCCACTTGGGTTTTTGCTTCTGAAGTGAAGGGTCTCTGCTGACCCTACCTCTTCACCTATCTCACTTAGACACACACTCACATGTGTTTTGCAACTGTAGCTTCATCACGTACACATTTCCTTTAGCAATTAACATGTATTCAACTAAGACAATCCCTTATTTTGGCTAAGTTACAGCTCAGTATGTGGCTGTGACAGTCGAGTATTATATTATACAGGTGCCCACTATAAGAGATGAGACATATAAAGTACTAACATATTTGAAAACATTATTTCCCATAAATCATTTGATGTGATGTAAGTAACCTCTCAACTTTGTTCAGCTTGAATTTCCTGGACAATGTGAGCTGTTTGTTTATTGTGCAGCCTTAGTTTGTATGTTTTACCAATATGTATGTTGAGAAATGACAGATGTTTTTGATCATTGCTATTATATATATATAATACATTCTTGGAAAGGCAAGTTCTTGTTGGAATTTGTTCAACTTTTAATACAGTGGCTCTTGAGGTTTATCTAGCTTTGCATTTTTTATTTTAAGTGCTTAATCTGTGTACCCTGGATTACATTCTTCACATTTCTGGTAATAGTCAAACATATATATATACGAAGGCAGTGTAGTTTAAATTAAATCTTTCAATCTGACTAATGTATAGGAATACACTGAGCACTGAGCAATAATCCTTACAGGTGGTTTTATACTATACATTTGAGATTGATATTCATAGAACAGTTTTTTCTGCATTTTAATTGTAATAAATACGTTTTACAGAAGATTTAAATTGCAGTATTTAGATGTTGCTTTCACCGTAAAACACTGCATTACACTGATGCTTTTACAGTTAAACAGTGTTATTTGTTTGGTATGTTTCTGTAAAATTGAATGGGATTCAATGTACAATATACAACAACTGCATGTAAATCTTACTGAAATAATCAGTTTAATAGCAACGTGATCATGCTAATTCAGCAGAAACGGGCTGTTGAAATTACAGATTTAAAATGTAAATTACAACAGTTTTAAACTGTAAAATATACACGTTGTTCTGTAAAGTTGTTTACAGTTTACCGTATTTTTTACATCATTATTCTGGCAACAAACCTGCAAGGTTTTTACCGTAAAAACAACGTTTTTTTTTTTACAGTGTAGCGTTGTACCTACACTTCCTACAGCGTAACCTGGGACCAGGGCCGGCCGTTGCACTGGCGTTATAGATGTTCGCCTAGGGCGCCAGATCTGGAGAGGTGCTGCGCTGACAGCTCTGGGAGGGAAAACAAATGTTTTGACCGTTGGTGCTCATCCTAATTTTCAGCCTTGATTTAACAACATTTCATAATTAAGTAAATGTAACACCCTTTTCTTCCCAGTTACACGTTTCATTTCGCCCTGTACGATGGGCGCTGCAAGTGATGAAAATGGGGGATGTTGGCTTATCTGGCGCCCGCAGCTCACAGCCAAAGTGCGAGTGAGCGAGGGAGAAAGGGAGGGTGCACTGGAACCGGCGCTGTTGTTATTAGCATCTGGTGCTAGCTGCTCTAACGGAAAAAGAAGATGTTTCTACAATGATGTGGAGGGAGAGTCCTCTCCAGTCAGACTGAGAGGCTGATAACTACAGCTCAGTCAGGTAAAGGACTCTGAGTGTTTAGATAGTTCACTTTAGTCTAAGTTATCTCAGTGGGTCTCAAACGGTTTGGTCACAATTTATGTAAACACATATTTCCAAGGCACTCCTTTATAATTATTGGGATAAAACAGGTTTGAAATCATTCCAATGTATACTATAGGACAGTAAACCAGACATATCGTTTTAAACTGGAGAGATACAAAAATATGCATAAATAAAATAGTCAAATAAGATATGAATGAACAACAAAAATGAAATACGTTACATGTATTTGTTATTGGCTATAGGTTATTGGTTATGCTCACATACTTATTTAATTATTCAAATGTAAACCGATCTTTTTCATATGGGTGTTTAGAGTTGTACCCCCTAGATCTAGTCTCTAGTAATTCTGCTTAAAGTGCACCAGATTGAAGCATTTTGCTTCCAACAAGAACTTGCTTTAAAATGTTCAAACATTTCTTCCTGATATGCCTGAGAAGGCAGATATGCTTGTTTTTCTCAACAAGAACTTATTCATTTTTTTTATCCTGCCCCTCAAAGAATCGGAATTGAGAACCGTTAAGAACGGGAATCGAAAAGTAGAATCGGAATCAGAATCGTGGAAATTCAAACGATACCCAACCCTACTCCTAACACATTCAAGCCCCCAGTGTTCATGTATCATTTCAACCTAAATTCTTCACTTTCTTCTTCCACATTACATTTCAGCATAGCAGTTTAGCGTCGGATTTTCAGCATAAAGCATTCCCACTAGCAATTTCTTCAGGAATTGCATTCTCTAGTTATTACATGTTACTTGTTAGACGCTTTTATCCAAAGCGACTTACATACTCAATACTGTGGACAATCCCAACAGGAGCAATGTGGGGTGAAGTGTCTCAGGGACACAACGACATGCTGACTAAAGTGGGATTTACATTTAAACAGAAATACTGTAAATCTAAAAATGTTTTTCAGTTAGTCTATTTTTCTGGAAGAATTATGGGTGTTCATTCATATGCTTATGACAGACATGGCTTTTTTTCCCTCCGTCTGTTCTCTCTTGAAAATAATATTTCCTCAACTATGCATTTTAATTCATTTTATTTATTTATTCTCTTTATTCAATTGTATTTATCGAGTTATATTTTCTGTGTTTCTACTTCTAGTTCTCCCGTTCTCAGGGTTCTGATAGTTCTTCAGAACGCTGCAAAGAGATGAGACAGAGTTCACAGAGGGTTCACTGGCATCGCCTCTGACTCCATCAACTGTCTTTCATGTATTCACAGTGGGTTGGCTGCAGTTAATGCAGTCTGTTTGAACATGCAGACTGCATGAGGAGCATCTCAATGCTAATGTCTCCAGCTGTTCATAAATCAAACCTATGAGGGGTAGATTAACACATAAACACAAATCAAGTCAGTCTCTCTTTGTTAGTCATATGTTTAAACATAAGTTACAATGTTTTTTACAAATTATTGACAAAAGAGCTAAAGTTATTCAAAGCTTTTCTTACACTGACTTCAACTGCAAATGCATTTGACAGAAGTCCAAATGCTTTGTATGTTGAAAGAATGTCTGTAGAGAATGAATGGGAATACAACATAAAACGTGGGGTTACTTATTGTAACCCTAGTTCTATAAGCACAGAGGGAGCCCTCTACTGGACTCTATGGGTACTAATCTCATCAATGATACGCGAGCGTTCACACACTGAGGTTGTATAAACGTAGCCGGCCAATCAGGGCGAGCCTACCTGAATGCGCGTGCGGGCACACAGTATATAAGGCGGCTACGCCTCCTGACTGTCATCCTACACCAGGGATCACCAACTACATCTGTCCAAGGGCCAAAAAGACTATGGGTACAGTGGGCAGAGCCCCGATGGATAAACGCCCTGTCGTCCTACAACATCGATCCGCCACACTGCCCCTGACCGGCCTTTGGTTAACAGCCACCGCACCCCAACTTCCTATCATCCGGTTGTGACCGAGGAGAAGTCGGGGCCGCAGCTTACCTGGCTGGGTAGAGCCTAATTGGTCTGAATAAGCCTATAGCTCCACCCTGCAGGTGCCAGCGCAAGTGACTATACACTGCGCACTACGCCTCCCGGGTCCCTAAGGAGCACGGGTAGAACGCAAGTGCACTATGTCTCACACGCTTACCTTGTGCAGAGTGTGCATGGACCGTGGGGAAGGCAGCGAGGAGAGTCCTCCAGCCCTGTATGGGGCTCACCATGCTTCCCGGGTCCCTAAGGAGCATGGGAAAAAATAAGTGCATTATGTCCAGGGGGGTGGTCAGATATCAACTGACCCCCCTCACCAGTCCTGTGTTGCCCAAGCAAGCACAGACGATGAAAAGGAGCCAGACATGTCCAAGAGATAAAACCTTATGAAGGGGCCTGGCGTAGACCAAGACGCCGCTGTGCATATGTCCTCCAAACTCACGCCGTTGAACAAGGCTGTTGATACAGCCATACCACGTGTAGAGTGTGCATGGACCCCAGTGGGGAAGGCTCTCCCCGCCTGTCCATAGGCATGTGAAATGCACTCGCAGAGCCATCCTGTTAGGCGTTTCTTGGACAGAGCTTTACCGGCTACACCATCCCCAAAGCACACTAACAGCTGTTCAGTGCGCCCGATGGAAGCCGTGCGCCCTACATAATAATAATAATAATGGATTACATTTTTTAATTAGAGCGCTTTTACAGGTGCTCAAAGCGCTTTACAATTACATATTACACATATTAGACATGTAAATGTCATTACTGTGGACATTACCCACAGGAGCAAATGCGGGTAGAGTGTCTTGCCCAAGGACACAACGGCCTGACGCTAATTAGCCTCCCTGTCCCCAATATGGGGTGGAAGACTAAAGCCGTCTAACTGTATAGCCCTCGACCTGAACGAACTCCTTAGGTTCTTGGGAACAAAGGAGGAGTTCGGTCTGAGTGTCGCCCCGCTACGGTCACCCTGAATCAAAAGGCAACTCGGGTGCCCGACAGAGCGGTCAGCTCGCACACTCTCTTGGCCAAAGTCAAGGCAAGCAGCAAACTGTTTTCAATGACAGAGCCTTCAGGGAGGAGAGCTCAAGAGGCTCAAATGGTTATGTGACAAGAGCCTCGAGCACCAACGGCAGATCCCAATGCGGGGTGGAGACATGCACCACTGGGCGCTGTCTCCTGACCCCCTGCAAAAACCGCGCCATAAGCAGTTGACTAAAGGCTGACCTGCCGCCAAATCCCTCATGGCAGGACGAGATTGCTGCTGCATACACCTTAATTGTGGAATGAGCAAGCCCCCTGTCCACCAGTATCTGTAAATAGGACAGAATAGAGCCCAACGTACAAGATAGAGGCTCTAGACTCCTTTCTTCACACCACCGCTGGAATCCCAAACACTTCGTCCTGTAACAGGCTGTGGTGGATCCTGCTCTTGCTGCCTGGATAGTCTGAATAATTTTGTCAGACAGTCCCTCCAGTCTCAGCCTGTCCCTCTCAGGAGCCAAGCCTGGAGAGGTTGGCCCAGAGTGGGTAACACCCCTACTGCACCTGCTTCCTGAGACAACGCCCCCCAGACCTGAGGAACCGTCCAGGGCTGGCCCACCATCATCTGTGTCACCTCTGCGCACCACCTGGGTCTACCAGGATAACTGACAATCGTTCTCGTCTCACCCTCTCCAGGAGGGGGAGAATGAGACGCAGCGGTGGAAAGGCGTAGAGCATGTAAATAGGACAGAATAGAGCCCAATGTACTGGACAGAGGCTCTAGACCAGAGGTGCCCAGTACGTCGACCACGGGGGCAATGCTGGTAGATCGCGAGTCATTCATAAAATAAAAAAATCCAGCTCCGTTAAAATAGACAAAACAGGTTTTGATCCCTCCTCCCTTGGCCTCCCTGCCACTTAATTCAGGAGTTTACTTGATTGACAGAAAAAGCGACCTATCGCTTTCCAATCTGTTAACCCAGAATGCAAAGCGATACAAAATCAGTCAAGTGCCGGGAAAACTCAAATTAAGTTAAAGAGACAAACAAGAGACAAACAACAAAATGAGTGCGGGACCGAGCAAGAAGCTAAAGACAAACCACTTCCACCCAGAATGGGAGGAAGA